CAGGCTGTGGCTGTCTGAGATAAGAGCTGTCTGCTACGCCTTAGCTGTGCTGTGTGATCTTAGACAGGGTACTTAACTTCTCTGAGCCTTGCTTTACTTGCCTCTCGGATGGGGACAGGAATAACAACTGCCAGAGAAGGCGGACATGAGAATCAAATGTGGTAACGTGTGATTAAGTATTCCAGATGGTGGAGGGACACAGTGCACTCTCCTGGACACTTTACTACCTTCCTCCATCATCACCAAGGGTCCTGGAAGGTGGGCCAAGGGTCCCAAGTGACGGGGCAGCAGAGCACACAACACAGAGCCCTCCTTACGGAGGAGAAATCTCACCGACAGTCACCTCTCAGTGTGGTGCAACCGGCGGGCCTGCCAGACCTGTCTGTCTCTTGACAAATACTTGGGTGCCTGCCACACGTCAGGCCCTGCTGGGCGTCAGGGTAAGAAGGTTCCACAGGACAAAGCAGGCAAGATTCCTGTCCTTCTGGGTCTTCAGGCAAGGGGGTGGGGACAAATATTAAGCCAATAATTATACCAATAAGTATCTAATGAGTTTGATTAATAAGGAAAATGGCAGGTTTTGCTACAAAACATGTAATTAGGAACCCAAGCCTGCTTTGGGGGTTGGTCAAAGAAGCTCTCTGAAACTTGGCATGGTGGCCCACGCCTAAAATCCCAGCGCTCGGGAGGCTGAAGCAGGAGGATTGCTGTGAGTTCAATGCCAGCCTGGGCTACATAGTGAATTGAAGACCAGCCTGAACTACATAGCAAGAGCCTGTCTCAGAAAATGAAACAAAACAAAACAAAACAAAGATAAAAAGAAGCTCTGTGAGGAGGTAATCTAATCCGATGCCTGATGGATGACGAATAGTCACTAACATAAAAGCCAAATAAAGAATTTTATACACTCCCAACAGAGATGTCTGAGCTTCACAGGGCTCACATCATCTCCAGGTTATGCTGGTGTTCTACTTTATCACATATCGAAGAATGTTTGGGGAATCAAACGCTGGGAAATTCCTCCTGGTATCTACGTCTATCTTTCCTGTGAGCATTTGAAGTGAAAGTGGAGTGGCCTGCACAAACAACTTATCACTTGTTATATGCAAAACCAAGTTAAGGTCAAGGTAAAATTACTAACCCTTGGAGACTGAGGAGTCGGGATTCTCATATTTGAGAACCCTCCATGGACACTTTGGGTATCCAAAATGCCAGCTGAAAGGACATCCACTCGGAGAAGCACACTGAGAGGTTGTTTTGGATGTGCGTGAAGGAATGACCAGGACATGATTCCCATATGTGTCCATTGGAGACGCCAGCCAGGGGACCTGTCAGTTCCAAGCTTACCGGAAGGCAGTGGCCTAAGGCATCGGGAGCCTTGCAAGTTCACACTGGCCTGACCCGCCTCTAGAAATCGCACAGGCACAAGTGCGGGGTGCACAAAGCTGGCTGTAGCTGTGTATGTAACAAGAAAAACATCGCCGAAGCTAGTGGTCAAAAGCAGACCTCCGGCTCCACGGTGCTCAGCAGGGGCGCGGTTTGCATCTGGGGAGGTCAAGTCTCCTTTGTACAGGATCCTCTGGTGCCTTCTAGGATGTACGGCATCTGAGGACCAATGCAAACACTGGGGGAATCTGCCAGTCCTTTAAACAACTGCCCCCTCTCCAAAGTACATACCCAAGTGCCCCCTCGTGGTGGGTAGTGCTACTGCAAGTTACAAACCACGGGTGGAAAATTATCCAACCACTACAAAGCATGTTTGGAACATTGCTGAGATACCCTCAAGCTTTTAGCATCACTTTCACTGGTGGTTCTCCCATTCCTCAGGAACATCTGGAAATATCATGGGTGTCACAACTGGGAGATGCTACTGGCATCTCGTGTTGAGGGTCAGGGACGCTGCAGAACACCTCACTGCACAGGACACCCCACACCAACAAGGGGCCCAGCCAGAATGTCCACGGTACTGAAGTTGGGGAAACCCGCTTGCCATTTGCCTTTCTCACAGCTTTGTTAATGATTTTCCCACACTCTTCCTGAAGTAGCATCTCTGTAAATTTGTCATAATGGCATCTCTAAGACCCAGGGAATGTATCATTCACTGAGTTTAAGGGAAATTGGAACCTTCAAAATGACTTACTGGGCAGACACCAGTTCTCGGTTCTGCTACCCCAGGGCTCTCTGGATGACACTGAAGTCCTTGTTTGGAGTGAGCAGGGACAAAGGATCTGAGCAACATCTCTGATTGGTTTTCCGTACTGTCTCTTAAAATCCTGTGACAGCATCCTTGCTTCTCGGCATCATCTGCTATACTTCTCATTTTCACACTATTTTAAGAACATTGGTTTTTGCAGCTACTGAATTTTTATGAAATTAAATGCTCATATTCAAAGACACTTTCCTAAATGGGAGATGACTTTCATTTGTATTATATTACATTGAAGGAATTTCTCAGAAGAAATCAAATAACAAAGACTATCACCTGAAGGTATAGGTATTAGCAACCCATGCTGGGGAGGGAGAGGAGAGGCTTCACCCCACAACGCAAGCACTCCGCTTTCGCCCTAACTGGCCTCTAACACTATGCCTCCAGCACAATGCATTTCCACGTACACTGTAATTTCTCTTCATAGAAGAACAGCTTTTCTCAAATCATAGGCAACAACATATTACGCATCAGGATTTCTATTAGGGGAAGGCATTTAGAGCTTAAATTTTTCTACCTGAAAATAAACGAGGCAACTTCTTAAAAACCTTTGAATCCATAAATAGCTCTATAAATAACAGATTTTAAAAGATCTCATAATTTAAAATTTGGGGCCCATTCTTGCACACAACATGACTCCTTCAGAACACTTGATGTCGACTCACACTTTATTGGGCAAATATAGAACCCTTCAAGTCTCTTGAACAGATATTCTCTCTCTGGAGGGTAATTTCTCTTTCTAATCATCTGCGTCATATAGGTTTGAGTAATCGTAGGGAACAGAGAAAGCCTTCCCAGGAACAATAGAATTATAATAGATGGGAATACCCTGTCATTTGGCATAATTCTAACCACTTGTTTAATAGTGTTAATCATTTTCCTTCACAACAAATCAAAGAAACTTCAGTTTTATGCTTCGCAAAGACATTCATTTTGGATGAGTCAAGTGGCCTCTAAAAATACCATAGAGCCTCACTTGGAACTGGTGAATTTAATCAAGATCCCATCTTTTGCAGTGGCCTGTTCATGAGGGTCAATGTGAGTAGAAAATTTTCTCTGGATCTGAGTATCTCTGAGTGATGCTTAATAGTTTTAGAGAAGAATCTACTTAGGCAGGTAGCTGAAAATAGCTTCCCTTGGGAAAACTCGGGCACAATTCAGCATGAAGCCGCATTGAACAAAAGAAAGGTGGGCCCTGTCGAAGTCGCTGGGAAGCAGGGGCCAGCTCACAGCCCGTCTGGGTGTGGGGACTCGCAGTGGCCAGAGATGTTCAGCCAACCACCACTGCATCCGAACTTCCAGACAGACACTCAAATGCTGTCATTCTTCCGAAACTACCTCTCCACTAAGACACTCCTTCCTGAAACTGAGGAAATGAAAGATACAACCTCAGCCCACAAACTGCACGCAAGAAAGCACTCCCTTTTCCCTGCCAATATCCCAGCTCTAAACTACCTCATCCAACCGATGTTTTCTGTGAATGTTTCTAGCCTAAGACATGTTCTTTCCCCTGTTAGGGATAGAACAGAGGCTGCAAAACTGAAGTGCATGTCAGGTTGGGGGAACTAACACAAAAAAAGAAACGAACTTAGTGGAAACTGGAATGATCTGATTAAGGAAGATGAAATTCTGAGTAAAAAGCCCGGCCAGAGCTCAACTCCCGCCAATGACACCATTGGGGGCGTGGAGAAGACCAGTGGTGGCGAACCTATGCCACCCGTGCTGCAGTGGGCTGTTTGTTATCACCGAAAGCACTAAAAGGTTCACCATCGCTGTTCTAGATCCTCAAAATTTTAAGACAGAAAAAAAACTTACACATGAAAATTCCTACTCGCAAGTGCTAGCAACTAAATTTTTAAACAAGACACTGTTGGTTACAAAAAGTCCTCCCTGATTGCACCTGCAATTTATAGAAGAAGGAAATGAGGAATGACTGAAGAGATGGCAGAAGGGTCAGTCTGCTGACATCATCAATGATTCTTGGGGCACCTAGTTATAAAGAACTCTTTCTGGGCCATCATCACACCAAAGCTCTTGACTTACAATTTCCAGGCTGCCCAACTCTAAGAGCTTCTGTCGACATGGAGATCACCACAGAAAGAAATGTAATGGGTCAGGGGAAGACACCATGGCTTGCAGGGAAGACGGTGAGAATTCCCACCTTAGAGATGTGCCGCTAGGCCAACCCAGGGGGCTGGAGAGCAAATTCCAAGGACCAAGAAATGAAAAGCAGAAGTTGTGTATCACTGAGGGAAACGCAGCGTAACAGAAAGACACCGAGTTCTCCTCATCAAAACAGTAATACTTATAGCCTGTAGGTCGGGTCCAGATATTTCGCCCAATGTCAATGTCTCTTTTTATTGTGTAGGATCAAACTTGATATCTAAACACAGCACAGATCACTGAGCACAGTGAGGCAATGCCACACCTCCTCACGCTCTCTTAGAAAGAACCTACGCCTTGGGACTCACGGTCAACGCTATATCTCCTCTTCTCCTTACCAAAAGTGAGGTTTTGTCCTCTAACATTTTGAAGCCAACATTTCCGAGATGTCTCTAGACAGTCTGTGCGGAGTTAATAATGGCAATAGAGAATGAATTAGCAACGGATCACCCCGGGCTCAACTCCATCTGCCTTCCTCCTCTTCCACTGAGGCCCGTGACATCTTCAACTCATTTAGACCCCAACCCATTTGCCCTGAGTCAGCAAACCCACCTCTTCCTTCCCAGCTGGAATGGGGAAGGACCAGCAAGACAGTCTGAGCCAAGCCCGCGGCCCCCGCCCCCAACGGTACCTGCTCTGGCTTCAGCCCGGGCGGGACCCAGGCGTACTCCTCCAGGGCACAGCCCGAGTCGTCGTCTGAGGTCGAGTTCCGCTGGAAGTCAAACATGAGCTTGCTGATGGTCTTCTCCATCTCCAGCGGCATCACGGTCACCATGTGCTCCTCCTGGCGACACTTGCAGTGCAGGCAGATCTTCCTGCGGGCAGCAAAAGCAGAGGTGAGAAGGCAGGAAACAGAAGGCGTTTCTTTCAAGAGGCTGCCAGTCCCCTGACCCTGTGTATTCCAAACCACAAACTCATTCCTAGCAACGGGCTTCTGTCAAGGACAGGGCAGCTGCGATGTGAGCGCACCTTTCCCTGCGTACGGTGTGGCACGGGCACACAGCGTGAAAGCCGGGTGAGAGGTCGGCTGAGGACAGACTGAGGTCTGCTGAGGACAGACACATGTGGGCCCCAGCCTCTTCCTCTAACCCAGTATTCCACGAGGGCTGGAAAGGTAATCATCTTATTGCATAGGACAGCGGCATGGCCCGCAGTTCCTCCACTGGGATGGCGATTACATACATGTAATATACACTGACCGGAAACCTTGCCAGATTTAAAAAACACCCTAACAGTGCCCTGTTTTTATCAAAGGTTCCTAAGTCATGCAGAAGGCAAGAAATGCTTTTTAAAAAGAACTGCAGGTGAGATTTTCCTCATAAAGAGCAAATCTGGTCCTAGGATCTCATGGAAAGGGCATTTCCACCTCCACTAAGTCCCTGGTTTGAAATTTCGATAACGAACCCAACTTCTCCCTATGTTGTTAGTTTTCGAAATATACATGAAGATCATGCATCTAAATTACTTCAAAAGGTAGCAGCCAAAGATAAAATTCTCTCCCCCAAGCTGAACATTTCTCTTTTAAGGTTACCATCTGTTCCCTTATCCATGGCTACAGAAATGATGAAGCAATAAAAATGGTGATGTCAGCGACACAAAACCAGTTCTAGCTTCCATCACTAAGATGAAAAGACCAGACTGGGGAACATCTGAAGAGAACACCCGCTTCTCCGTGCACTCTGGCCTGCGTTAGAGTTCCAGTAGCACCTTAGAAAGGCACCAAGTTTTTGACAACAGATGTGCTCAGATATAATTCACACACCATAATCGACCCTTTTATTTTTGTGGTGAACTATCTCTTGCAGTGCATGTTTACAGTACATAATGATTATCTCCTGGCGGGGAGTTGGTACATGTACACGACACACCTGAATTCATTTCTCGTCCCCTCCCTACCTTCCCCCTCCAGCTCTTGAGCCCCTTCTCATCTGAGAAGGTTCTGTCTCCCTACTTCCTATTATCTATCTTGTATTTTGCTCTTACTTATAATTTGGGTTTCTCATATAAGAGAAGCCATGCAATCTTTACACTTGTGTGTCTGATTATTTCACTTGACACTACGGTCTCAAGGTGCATCTTTTTTCCTACGAATGACTCAAGTTTATCCTTCTTATGGTAGAGTAGTGCCCCATTGTGTGTAAATGCCACATTCTCTTTATCCATTCATCCGCCGATGGACATACAGGCTGGTTCCAAGATTTAGCGATTATGAATTGTGCTGCTGTACACATGGATGTGCATGTATCGCTGTAACACGATGTCCTTAACTCTTTGGAAGAGACCTGTAAGGGGAATAGTTGGGTTGAATGGAATTTCTAGTGTTAGTATTTTGAGGAATCTCCATGCTGATTTCCATAGTGGTTTCACTGGTTTATGCTCCCACCCACAGTACAAAAGGGTTCCTTCTTCTCCACAGCCTCCCCAGCATGTATTATTTCATTGCTTGATGACAGCCATTCGTTCTGGGGTAAGATGGGATTTTAATGTTGTTTTAATTTGCATTTCTCTAATGGCTAGTGATGTTTAGGATTTCTTCATCTACTTATTGGCCATCTGTACTTATTCTGAGAAGGGTCTATTCACTTCAGTTGTCTGTTTTTTTGGTTGGGTCTTTTATTTGGGGGGGGGTCTAATATTTTTTGACCTAACATTTAGATCTTTATCCATTTTGATGTTAATTTAGTATATGGGAGAGACATGGGTCTAGATTCAGTCTTCTGCATGTGCACAGCCAATTTTCCCAGCACCATTTATTAAAAAGGTTCTCTCTCCTCTCACGTATGTCTTTGGCTCCTCTTTCAAACAACAATTAGTTGAATGTGCCCGGGGTTGTTTTGGCATCATTTATTCTGTTCCATTGATCCACATGTCTTTTAGTGCCAGTACCATGCTGTTTTGATCACTGTAGCTTTGTAGTATAACTTTAAATCTGGGATTGTGATGCTTCCAGCTTTGCTCTTGTTACTCAGGATTGCTTTTGCTATTCTAGGTCTCTTCTGATTCCATATGAACTTTAGGATTGCTTTCTCCAGCTCTGTGAAGAATGTTGCTGGTATTTTCAATATTCACCCTTTTAAAGTATATTATGCAATAGCTCTTGATGTATTCAGAGTTGAGCAACATCACCAGTATATAATTTTATATACCACATCCCCAAAACTCATGTGCATTAACAGCAACTTCTTCTCCTACTCTCAGACCCTGATAACCATTAAGATATTTTCTGTCTCTATTACTTTGCCTGTTCTGGACATTTCCTGTAATAAAACCATACAATATGTAGTCTTTTGATACCAGCTTCCTTTATGTATAATGCTGTTAGAGTTAATCCATGTTGTAGCATTTATCAACCCTTCATTTTCTTTTATCATTGAGTAATACTCCACCGTACAGATAGATCACAATTCTCATTCACCAGTTGGTGGATGACAGGACTCTTTCCACTCACATGAGTACTGCTGCCCTGCATATTTAGGTACAAATTTTGGTGTGTGTGTGTGTGTGTGTCTATATATTTTCATTTCTCATGAGCACGTATCTAGGAATGGAACTGCTGCATCACACGGCTACTTTATATTTAACATCTTGAGGGACTGTCCAACTGCATTCCAAAATATCTGCATGGCTGTATAACTCCTCATCAATGAATGGGGTTACCTGTCTCTCTGCTGTAGCCATCCCAGAGGGGGTGAGGTGGTATTAAGTTGTGGTTTTGACTTGCATATCTCTAATGCTAACAAAATTGAGTGTCTTTCAATGAACTTATTATATATATTTTCCTTGGAAAAATGGCTATTCAAGGCTTTATTTTTTCATGAAGTTATTTGTGATTTTACTGCGGAGTTGTAAGTGGTCTTCTTACTTTCTGGATGATGTTCAGTGAAGCATAAATTTTTCAAAACAATTTGATGTAGTTCAGTTTATTTTTTCTCTATTGTTTGCACTTTTGATATCATATTTAAGAAACCATCCCTAACTCATGGTCATAAAGATTTACTCGAGAGTTTGAAGCCTTAAGCCCTTACACTTAGGTCAGTGATCCATTTTGAGCTAGTCTTCCCATACGTGATAAGGTAGAAGGTCCGCTTCACTCTCATACAGCTGTGCAGCTGGCCCGGTGCCATTTGTCAAAAACACATCTTTTGCCCGTGGTTGATTTATCCTCATTTTGTCAAAAATCAAACGTGAGTGGTGGTTTCTGGACTCTCAACTCTCTTCCACTAATCTATGCTATTGTAGTTTTGTAGTAAGTTTTGAATCAGGACATATGAGTCTTGCAACTCTGTTTTCCTTTTGAAAAACTCTCCTGGCCCTTGTAGGACCCTGCATTTGCACTCTTACACTATGAATTTTGGGGTTAGCTTGCCAGTTTCTGCGGAAATGCCAGCTGAGATTTCAGTGGGGGGCCACAGAATCTGTGGATTAATTTGGGGACTATGCCTTCCTAACGCTGTTCTTTTCCAGTCCAGGAACACAGGAGGCCTTTCTATTTATGTCAGTCTGTTTTAATTTCTTTGTATGCTATTTTGTGGATTTGAGGCACAAGTCTCGCATATCTTTTATTAGGTCAATCTTATATATTTTATTCTTTTTGATGCTATTTTAATTGGAATTGTTCCCTTAATTTCATTTTCAGATAGACCGTGCAACAGAACTGGATATGAGTTTTTACACTGATGTGTGATACAACCCTGCTGACCTCATTTATTAGCTCCTTCTTTAGGTTTTCCTGTGCACAAGGTCGTGTCATATGTGGGGAGAAGCAGTTCCACTCCTTCCTTTGTGATCGCATGTCATCTGTCTCTTTGCCTTGTCTTTTTGCCCCGGCTTGAACCTGCAGTACAATGCTGAGGAGAAGTGGACAGGGCATGTCTTGTCCCTGATCTTAAGGAAAAACATCTAGCCTTTTACTACAAGCACTGATGCTGGAGGTGGTGGGATTTTTCTATAGAAGCCCTTTATCAGTTTAAGGAAGTTCCCTCCCGCGTTAGTGCACTGAGAGTTTTCATTGGGAAAGAGTACCAGATTTTGGCAAACGCTTTTCCTGTAGCTGTTAAGACGGTCAGTTGTTTTTTGTCCTTATTCTATGAATGTGTTATCCCTGAAGTTTGACACAAAAATGTACATGAAGAAACTAAATCATTTTAGCCCAGCCAAGTGAGGCTTGTCAGATCTTCCAACTTCCTGATTTTTATCACACCAAAAATCACACAGATAAAACATCTGGGATCTAGTTTACAACTCTAAGCTTAAAGAAGTTCCATCAAAACCCTAGATGCTACATTTGAAAATAGAGTTCATTGTAATAGTAAATCATTCATTAATCAGCGGCTGTAAAGAGGTCAAGGTTGTAGAGTTCTTTTAATTTCTCAGAACTTTTTTTTTTCCAGTTTTTGACTTTAGAGGAAAAAAATTTTAGAGTGTTTAAGCAAATTTAGTAAGTTTGTTGGTGATTAGTGCTTTTTACCAGAAAGCCATATTTTAAAAATAAAATGTAAAAGAATTTTAAAAACCAAATACAGTCCCCTAGAATATCCACAAATGAAAAATTCATTTATTCAGCAATGCGGGCAGAGCACAGCGTTTATTCTTGGGTGGACGTCAGCTGATGTGTAGAGGTGCGTGGAGAAGCGAAAAACAAGAAGAAAACAAAATCCAGAGGTGCTGATCCACCCGGAGTGAGTCTGAGCGCACAAGGACAGGACCGAGGGCTCCGCCTGGTCACTCAGCAGACAAGATCAAGGACCTGTGGGACCGGGCCCGCTCCAGGCACCCGGGACACTTAACCAGAACAGAGTCCTGAGACATGGCACCG